AGCGATCCCGGCTCCCTGCCGACGCGGCCCGATCCGCTGGACGCTCCGCTCCGCTCCGGCGTGCCGCTGCGGTGCCGACGCATCCTGCCGGGGCGGGGGCTCCGAGAGCCGCAGCGCCCGCCCTCCCGGCCAACCCCGCAGGGGGCGAGGACGCCAACGACGCCGACGACGCCGACGACGACGACCACGCCGCCGACGACGACGACCACGCCGCCGACGACGGCGGCGACGACGGCGGCAGCGGCGACGACGACGCCGACGACGGCGGCGGCGGCGACGACGCCGATGACGATGCCGACGACGACGCCGACGACACCGCCGACGGCGGCGGCGGCGGCGGCCGCGCTTCGCGCGCCGCGGCCTCGGGCTGGAGGTGCGCCCTCTTGAGTCGAGGGCGGCCTTCGCACGCCCAGAGGCCTCGGGCCCCGAGCCTGACCTCACCGAGGAGGAGCGAGCCCCCAACCCTGACAGCAGAGCCAAGACGTGGCCTCGCTGAGGGCCCCGTCCTTGCATTGCGGGTAGTAGATCTGGGCCGTTTGGTTCGACACGTCTGTAGAAAGACTTGAGTTGGGCCGAGGGTCAGAGAGCGCCTTCCTCTGCAGGACCACCAAAACAGGGACGTCAAGGTGGTCAAGCGCCTCGCCACCTAAGCCGACGAAGATGTGCAAAATCCAACCCTTCGCCTCATGTCCAACGTTTTGGTTTGACGCCGGGTGTGGTGCATCAACTTCAGCTTGACCGAACAGGTTGGTTGCGCCCCTCGACGTCCGTTTGGGGTACTCTGCGGACCTGACCCCCTAGCCCTACTCAAGAAGAGACCCCCTAGCCCCAACGTTTCTGACCCTCCCAGCTCAGGTCGCCCCCCAGAGGGTTAGGGGCCCTTTCGCGCCCGACCACAACTGCGACAGGGCCCGTCTCGATCCGCTGCGGCATCGGCTCTGGCCGGCTCGACCCGCCTCGAGTGTCCGACGCTCCGGCGCTCCCCGATGCCCGCGCGGCACTGCCGTGCATCTCGGCGCGGCCGATCCCACTCGAGCCCGACGCCGTGCCGATGCGGCCCGATCCCAGCGCCCGCTCCGACTGGATCCGATGTCCCGAATCTGATGCTGCCCGCCCCTGTGTCGATCCTCCTCCCTGCCGCAGCGCTGCCCTTGTGGAGGACGCTCCGTAGGGCCAAATACATTCCAGATGTCTAGGACATGTTTAAACGATGCCTCTAATTTGCTAGAACATGTTTGAGCATGTTTCGAACGTGTTTGCAGCATGTCGAAGACATGTTAATGGCATGTTTGTTTCAATGATAGAACGGATAGAGTTTCCATTGTCCTGGCATTCACAACACTACACAGCGTACCCGTATCCTTAAGGCGGGCATGCCCTTCTACAGGAGGAGTGTTCAACGTTAGTGAACGAGTAGTCCGTTGGCGGCTCCTCATGCTCTCTTGATTCTGCCTGGCTATTTTGGTGGACCATGTTTCACTGCTCTTCCACAGATCCGCCTGCAGGAGGACGTGCCCGACCTGACCGCACAGTCGGGCCGCCGAAAGAAGGAACGCCAGATCAGGAGCGAAGCCCCTTCTTGGCCCTGTGCGCGCCTCCGTGCCCCGGGAGGGCAAGAGGAGCAGCACTGGGGGTACCGATTCCGAGGCGGGGGGTACTGGTTCCGAGACTGGGGGGTACCGATTCCGAGACTGGGGGTGCTGGTTCCGAGACTGGGGGTACCGATTCCGAGACTGGGGGTGCCGATTCCGAGACTGGGGGTACTGGTTCCGAGGCTGGGGGTATTGCTTCCGAGGCTGGGGGTACCGATTCCGAGGCTGGGGGTACTGGTTCCGAGACTGGGGGTACCGATTCCGAGACTGGGGGTACCGATTCCGAGACTGGGGGTACCGATTCCGAGACTGGGGGTACCGATTCCGAGACTGGGGGTATTGATTCTGAGACTGGGGTGCTGATTCTGAGACTGACACCCGTGCCGGCGGTGTGCCTCCATCGAGGCAAGGTGATCCCGATCTCGGTGATGGTTGGTGGCAGTTCTTGGGTCTCCCAGGTGGCCGAAAGACTACCACCAACATCCAAATCTAGGATGATCTTCCCCTGGTGGAGGCAGCCTCTTGTGTTGATGTTGGTGCCCATGTCAAAGCCTCCAACATCGGAGGTCTCGATCCTTTTCCCAGGACAGTTTTTTTTTGTTCTCATCCAGAGCCCTTTCTTGACAGTCCCGCGGCTTTTCTAATTGCCCCCAGAAACCGAAACTGGCGGAACATTTACAAAAAACGGCCAGAGAAGCTCGGGGATCCGTTTTTGATAGTCTCGGAGCCTGCAAACAGGGCCCAGGGGCCGAAATCGATGACAAATTCCCAGATTGAACCAACTACTTCAGAACATCTTCCAAACACCAGCAAGGGTGACGAGGCGGATCGAGGAGTTGGGGGTCCGCAGAGAGGGGACAGCTTGGTGCATCTGTTTGCAAGGGATCGTTCTCGATAATCGTAGCTGGCATCCTCGTGGGGAGAGCACGGTCCCTGAACAACTCGTGAAGGAGTCTCCGGCAGAACCTCTGCCAGACCGGGCGGTCCAGGGCTCCTCCCCGTCGCCCCTCTGTTTTGTTGTTTTTTGTTTCTTCCGTTCTGGGAACCTTCTGGCGAAACGCGGCCAGGGAAGCATATCGTCGGATGGTGAGCAATTTTTTTATATTCCTCGTTCTGCCGGCGGGCGCGGGCCCTCGCACCCCCCCCCCTCCCCCCCCTCGCCCTCCCCTGGAGTAGGTCTTGGCTGGTCTTGGCGCCCGTTCCGAGCGGGTGGAGTCTCCCCCCCAGAGTCCGCCGCACTCTTGCAGACCGCCGCACCGGGCGGAGGTCCAGAGCCAGAAGCCCCCCCCCTCCCCCCCCTCCCTCTTCGCTCAACGTCGCTACGCCGAGAAAGAATATAACTCAGGAGGGAAAGAAACACACAGACACAATTAATCGTCGACTCCCCAGAAAATATGGGAAAATATGGGAAGTGGGGGGGAAGACAAAAACCCAGAAAATATGGGAAAATATGGGGGATATTTTTATTTGTGTGTATTTATTTGTGTGTTCCAGTTCCCCTTCATCAATGTCGCTACGCCGAGAAAGAATATAACGCTCACCTGTCTGGGGAGGCGCGCTCCCTCTCCATCTCTCGACCTTTGACCTTCGGCCCGCGGCGGCCACGGCGCCTCCAATGGAGGCCGCCGCGGAGGACCCCTCCATCCGTCGGCGACGGAGGGCGCCGACCCGTCGAGATCCCATGCCAGATCTCGCCTTCGAGGGCTCGTCGATCGGTGGACGGTGCTTATTCTTAGGCTTACACCTTAGGCGATGCTCAAGAAAACTTAAGTTTTCGTCCAGAGTCTCGATTATTCTTAATGTTTCAATTTAATTCCTAAGATTTTGATCGAAATCCTGGGTTTTAATGAAATTCTGAAACTATGAATTTCTTAACCCATGATTTCTTAAGCATTTCGCAGGGTGTACGCCACACCGCCGACCCCTTTGTTTTTCTTGGGGGTTTTTCTTGCCTCGTTTTGGGCCCCCCAGCAGACTTTCTGGAACGGATGACCCCCCCCAGCCCGCGCCGGGGAAGCCCGGGGAGGCCGGCCGGGCCCCCCCCCCCCCCAAATCGACCGGACCAGGCTCCCGGGGGAGGGGTTTGGGGAGGGGGAAGAATCTCACACGCCGATGTTCGAGGGTTTGTCGATCGGTTGACGGTGGTTCTTTGGGTCACTTGGGGAGGTATGACATTGAGGATGATGGCGAGTGTCCAGTAGCCAAACAAACACAAACAAACATAATGAGCATACACCTTCGGAGCTCTGGGCAGATTTCCTTGGATCTGCGCTGGGGCACCCCGCGGCGCCTCCAGCGCCGCCTCTGGCGCGCTCCGCGCTCCAGGGAGGGGGGTCCAGCGCAGATCCAAGAAGTCCGCGCGGAGCTCCGACAACTCATGCATGCCTATTCAGTTTTCTTCTCCCAGAGTGAGGTCGACGATATCGGCGTCGTTGCCCCTTTCTTCCCCTACTTCCCCTCCTGGAGGCCGCAAAGGGCAACACTCACTCCCGACCTAGAACCTCGGACCTGCCCACCCCTCCTGCTGGCCAGAACCAGTGTGGGCCACCTCAGACCCCCAGACTGACCACCTGCCAGACCACCCCAACCCAACCCGAAGACCCAAGTCTCGGGTTTGGAGGGGTACGGGTTCCACCTGTTTTCCAATGTTCCCCGCCGCACCCCCCCACTGGGAAGGGACGGCAAATTGGGGCCTTCGGGATGGGTTGGCCAGCGAGCGGGCGCTCCGCGGCGGCGACGCGGGGGCGCGGCAGTGGGGCGGGGACGCATTCTGGGCTCGCCCTCCGCCCTCGGAGGAGGAGGATCGCCCTCCTCTGGGCCTCCCTGTGGAGGGCGATCCTCCTCCTCCTCCTCCCCCTCCTCCTCACTCACTCACTCACTCACTCACTCGCTCGGTCACTCACTCACTCACTCACTCACTCACTCACTCACTCACTCACTCACTCACTCACTCACTCACTCACTCACTCTGGACTGACCCCCGGCCCCCGCCTCCGCCTCCTCCGCCTCCGCCTCCTCCTCCTCCTCCTCCTCTTCCAAGGGCAGAGGTAGAGGCCTCCCGGATGGGGTCCGAGTAGATGTTCGGGCGGAGGATCGCGCCTCATCGCCGATGCCTCAGCGATGCGGCTCGATGTGGGGCCCGATCTTCCCCACGCCGAAGGCGCCGATGCATCGCCAGCGTCGGTGATGCACTGGCGATGCGGCGCGATCCTTCGAAGCCATCTACTCGGACCCCATCCGGGAGGCCTTTACCTCTGCCCTTGGAAGAGGAGGAGGAGGAGGCGGAGGAGGAGGAGGAGGCGGAGGAGGAGGAGGAGGAGGAGGAGGAGGAGGCGGAGCAGGAGGAGGAGGAGGAGGAGGAGGAGGAGGGAGGAGGAGGAGGAGGAGGATCGACCTCGCACTTGGCTCATGCCCCCCCTCCGTCCTCAGGTGTACGTGGCCGGCTCGGGCGTAAGCCTGACCGGGCGGGCGCTGCGGGGGGCGGCGTCGCTGGTGTACACGCCCAAGCCCTTTGTGCCCCTGCCCGACGCGCCGCTGGAGGCCGAGACGGTCGTCTTCTTCGCCATCGTGGTGGTCGTCCTCGTCGTTGTCTTCTTCGCTGCCGTGCCGCCGTCGTTGTCGCCGACGTCGCCGCCGTCGTCATCGCCGACGTCGTTCTCGCCGTTGTCGTCGTCACGCGTGCGCGGGAGAGCGCGCGCGGAGGAGGCTAAGGAGGATGAGGAGGACGAGGAGTTGAAGAAGAAGATGGGTGGATGGATGGATTGATGGATGGATGATGTTGATGATGGTGATGATGATGACGATGATGATGATGGTGATCATGATGATGATGCTGCTGATGTTGATGATGATGATGATGATGCTGGTGGTGGTGGCGATGATGGTGGTTGCGGTGGGGTGATGATGATGATGATGATGATGACGACGATGACGGTGATGATGATGACGACGATGATGATGATGACGATGTTGATGAGGATGATGGATGATGATGATGCTGCTGATGATGATGATGATGATGATGCTGATGATGATGATGATGATGATGATGATGATGATGATGATGATGGTGATGATGGTGATGATGATGATGATGGTGATGATGGTGATGGTGATGGTGATGGTGATGGTGGTGGTGGTGGTGGTGATGATGATGATGATGATGATGATGATGATGATGATGATGATGATGATGATGGCGGTGGCGATGGTGACGGTGGTGATGGAGACGATGGTGATAGTGATGGGGGCGGTGATGCTGGATTTGCTGATGGTGATGGTGAGAAGGAACAGGACGAGAAGGGCGCGGGCGAGGTCGACGTCACCCGTGGGGGTAGGGGGCGATGAATTTCAGCAGCTGCGCCTAGTGCTCCCCCCCTCCGCCTCCCTCATCCACGCCTCTTCTTCCTCTTCCTCCTCCTCCGCGCGAAGTCTCGTTCGTCCATAGTTTGTCATCCCGAAACAAAAAAAACTACAAAGTATGGTCTCACTCATGTGAGAATTAAGCACACTTCTTCTCGTGTGCCCACCCCCACGGGCCGATCGCAACCATTTTGATGGGGTGTCTCCTGCCCGAGGACGCGTGCGCCTTAAGGGCTGCGCGCTTCGTGAAGAGCGGATCACATGCCAACATCTCGCACGGCCCCGCGATTTCATGCCGATTCCCCCTCCAGCTTCACAAAGTGCGCACGCTTGCGGTGCCGTCAGACATGCTCGTTGCATACTGCAGCCCCCCCCGCGGGCGCGCTTGCAGGGCGCCTTCCGCCGCTCTTTCACTGCAGCTCCACTGCACGCATGTGACGCCTTCCGCGTCCACCTGCAGCCAAGCTGGTGTGCTCCACCCAGCCCCTGCGCTGTGCGCACCACGGTCCAAGAACAGCAGCAGTGGGCCCAGGGAGGGGCTTCGGCAGATAACCTGTAGTTCGTCATCCCCTCAAAAGCAAAGCTGCCAATGATGGTCTTGCTGATGTGAGAGTTGAGCACGCTCGTTCTCGTGTGCCCACCACCACACGCCGAGCGCACCCCTTTCGATGGGGCGTCTCCTGCCCCCGAGGGCGCGTGCGCCTCGAGGGCTGCGCACTTCGTGAAGAGCGGATATCCGCACGTGCCAACATCTCGCACGGCCCCGCGCTTCAATGCCACTGTCAGGACGGGATGGTACACGAACAACCACGTCGTCCCGCACAATCGTGGTCGATTGGAATGTGTGGTTCAGGACATATGTGCCAGAACATGTCATGCACAGTCAACCCGAATAGTAAGGATGGGCAACCGTCCCAATGGTACCCGTGCATCCTTGCCTCCTCGGCCCACCCTTGGCCACTTTCGTTGGCCGCGCCCCGCCCGAAAAGCCTCGACGTGGCCTTCCAAGGCCCTTGCATCCTTATCGCGCAACCTTACTATACGGGTTGACTGTAGGTGCCAGAACATGTCACGTATGTCTCGGACACCGCAGCCACGTTGTCCCATCGCCTCTTCTCCCACCCCCTGCCTTTCGTGGAGGCCGCGTCGTAATCAGGACCGTGGAGGCCACGCAGCAAGCGCTTCGTAACCGCCTCCGAGCAGCAGTGCAGGAGCTGTAGACGCCGGGCAGGACGAGGAGATGCCGGAGGAGGTGAAGGAGGCAGACAGCGGCAGCAACCGTGTTCGAGACAAGCGCATCATTCTACTGGAAACTCGTGTGGGAACCTTGGAGCAGATGACCTACACCACCGTGCTTGTCGAACGGACGACCAGCCTGATCGAGGCAACGACGAATAGCTTCCAGAGCTGCCTGACAGAAAAAGGATATGGCCAGCCCTGCGTGCCAAGCCCTTTTCGCAATTCTCGCCGTTATCGCGCACTCACAGCCTGTGCATGCTTCAGCCAGAGCTCACGCGGGCAAAGAAGCTTGCAAGCGCCTCCAGCTCATTATGGCGAACTCGATCCCGTTCAAGAGTTCCTGTTTGATCAAGGAGATGTCCATGTCACCCGCGTTCGATCGCCCAGACCAGGAGTACAATCGCATTACGTGATGTCGCTGCGAGGCAACATTCTACTCTCTCGAGGTCCGTCCGTGGCCGCAGCTCTGTCGAAGCAGCTCGAGGAGGAAACGGAGGCGGTTCATTCGGTGTTGGCAACGGCTCAGCTCAGTCACCTGGATGTGTCAAGTGAGCAGTCAGCACTGCAGGGAGTGTGAGTGAGTGTGGGGCAGTGAGTGTGTGAGCAGCTTCGCAGTTTAGGTGCAATGTGTGATACAGTGTGGGCCCATGCCAAGAAACACCCTCCTTGCCTCCAGGGTGTCCTGGGGTTCGTGGGTTCCGATGGTTTTGCACTCGTTCCCACGCCAGAGATCAGGGGACGTCCCGGGGTCTCAGGGTTGGGTTTCTTGCGGAAGGCTTCTTGTGGATTGGCCTCCAGTGCACAGTCGTGCCCGAGGGGGCAACATGGCTGGGCAGCTCGGAGGCGGGAAGACGTCGAAAGGCCAGGGAGCCTCAGGGATCCCCCCCCGACCGCTCGCCCGCGCGGGGCCCCAGAGGCCTGCCGGCCTCTCGGCGTGCTGCACGTGTGCACGCGCGTCGGCTGCTGCCGCGGCCCCCGCTGCCGCAGCTGGCCGCTCTGGCTTGCTCATCGCGGAACCCTTCCACGTCCGAGCGCTTCCCCCCGTCCTCCCCTCGCGCGGCCGCCCTCGTCTTCGTGCCTTCTCCTTGCACGCCGGACACTTCGCTCTCTCGGTTGCCCCCGAGGAGCCGCACGCTGGAGCGGATTGCCTCGGCCCCGCCGCCGACGAACAAAAACTGGTGTGCACGTGCGTTCTCGCAGCTAAGCGCTCTGTAGCGCAATGCTAGCCAGGGTAATCGGCCAGGAAGACTCAGACACAGGTTCTTGTGGCAGCAAATCATGGGGGTCTCGTGTACCCTCGTAATCATGTCACTAGCGTCGGTTCGCGTCGACTAGCGTTTGGGAGTCGATGGATCGCCCGAATTCGCTTCGATAGGCATCGGCTTAACGCGGCCGTGCCGGACTGGACAACGCTTCGGACGGGAGTCCGCGGCCTCCACCGCCGAGTGCCCGCGACGTCAATGTCGTCGTCGTCGTCGTCGTCGTCGTCGTCGTCGTCGTCGTCGCCGTCGTCGTCGTTTTTTGTTGTCGTCGACGTCGTCGTCGTCGTCGTCGTCGTCGTTTTGTCGTTGTTGTCATTCTCGCCGTCGCTGTTTTGCACTTCGCCCATTAGCTTCTCAGCAACCAAGACCCCCCTCAGCAGCAAAGGCCACCCCGCCCACCGCGGAGTATCTGAGAGTTGCCTCCCTCCTCCTCCTTCTCCTCCTCCTCCTCCTTCTCCTCCCTCCTCCTCCCCCTCCTCCTCCTCCTCCTCCTCCTTTCTTCCTCCTCCTCTTCCTTTCTCCTCCCTCCTCCTCCTTCTCCTCCTTCCTCCTCCTCCTCCTTCTCGTCCTCTTCCCATTATCCTCTTCCTCCTCCTCCTCCTGCTGCCACCTCTGCGGACATGCTGTCTGTGATGTACGACACATGCAACAAGACGGGGCAAAGTGGGCGCGGGGCCTAGCCCAGCAAGTCCCTCTCCCCGCACGGACCATATGGGTCGCGTGGAAGCGTGCTCAGTTCTCCATTGGACCTCCGGCATGTCCCACATGGAAGGGCAATATGGCGAGCTTGCTTGACAATTGGCAATCACGAGGGCTGGTACCTTCACTGCCTTCGCTGCTGCAGCCGCTGCCTACATGAACTGACAGAGCACGTTGGAGCATGATACAGCATCGGCGGCACGAGGTGGCAATCCGCCTAGGCCCCATGGATTCAACTGTGAGCGCGTGGGTCTGGGACTGCACTTCGGCATCCATCGATATTCCCACATTCGACATCGAATGAGCCCAACAACTGCAACACTTACTTTAGAATGTATGAGCTCAAGCAGGTGCGATCTACATGCATGCCGTGTCAATCTCTGCACAGGGACGGTGAGCACGCACATATCCACTAAGCAAGCTCGTCGCATGAACACTGGGAGTCACCTACATAACGTAACGTAGACGTGACACAAAGCACGTACGAGCGGATAAATGAAGGCGTCGCAGGTATATCGACTCTGTTGGCCTCCGCTGCAAAAGGGACTGGCCGACACGAAGCCCTCGGCACGGTCTTTGGGAGACCAAGCACGCGAGCAGCGTTTTTCAAGCCAGGTCCAGCCCGTGCAAACGGAGGCAGCGTGGCCTTTTCATTGTAGTAGCCTGCTTGACGCAAGCTGCGGGTCAAAATGGCATCCTCTTTCGCTTCTTGAAGAGCGTGTGAGGCACGGGAGCCAGCATTGCAACTATGTTAGCAAGACAATTCGACGCTCCATGTCGGAGGTGCCTAAGAAGTCTGGGTCTCGTGTGAAATTCCAAGCAGCATGATTGGCAAACTGAACCGATGGTGTACTGGCCAGCGCGCTCTAGCTGTGGATGGCACTTCGTGAAGTGTACTGACCACTAACTCTTGGTCTTGAGAACTGCATTGCGCTCGCGGCATGGCCAAAGCATGATGGGGGGAGGGGAACGACGGAGGAATGCGGATGCTGGCCGACCATGGTTCACACAAGCCTGAGGTCATCTGCCCACGCGCTGCGCTGCATATCAATGTTGGCTGCGAACAGGAGGTTTCGCTCAGCTTGCCTACAAACCCGTTTCCAAAAACGCTCTCCTCTCTCACGCGCGATCAAAATCCATGTACGAGGCGGGCCGAGTGGCCCTATGAGCTTGGTGAGAGACACGTTGGCAGCAAGCCATTCAAGATCCTGTAAGAGTAGCTGTATCCATGTGCCTGGTACGTTACAGACACTGTCGAAGAGAGCGAACATACCAGGAGGGGCAGGGGTTAAAAGACGTGGCAGCCTGCGACGCCTCCTTATGCGAATCACTCCTTCATGTGGTAGCTGTCTTATGTGCAACCGTAGCTTGTGTGCAGACACGTTCTGGGCCGTTCGGCCATCACATCTAAATCCAGTTGCATATCTGAATGGTGCTAAGAGGCGCGCCTCGTTTTTTTTGATTCTGGAGCTTCGTTAATGCAGTCCACACGTGCGCGTTGTACAAGATGTACGGTGTACATAACTTGTGCACGAACGTCAACTTGTGGCTTTCATCCAGAGCGTTGTTATTGCAGACAGTACGCTTTAGCACTCCAAGGGGCCTCTGGGCTTGATGACAACGATGAGCAACCTCGGGTCCCATAGACATGCCCTGCTCAAGATAGCTCCCAATATATTTATATTTAGTTGTTGGTAAGTGCGAGCGTGATCCCATAAGCCCCGATCTGGATCCCTTTTTCATGCTTATGTGCAAATTCAAGGCGAGCTTTGCGTGACCCTTTTCCAAAGACTATCGGGAGGAGCTCGGACTTTCCCTGTTTGTAGTTTACTGCAAATCCCCTCGACGTGGCCTCTCCGTGGGCTATTATGGCTACCTCTTTAGCAACTTCTTGCTAAATCGCGGCCCAGGTAAATGCAACTATGGACGCGAGGCCGTCGACTTAAGACGGGCCCCAGAGCTGTTCGGTGCCCTCCGGATGGTCCATCTGGAACACGGCCTTGGGGCTCTGGTGGGGTACCTCAAAGGTCTGCAGGAGGTTCAACTTGCTCAGCCTATCGTTGATGCTGCACATGGCTGGAGAGAAGACAATATTGAACAACTAACCAGCGAGAGGCATTCCAGGTCTGGTGCCTCCCGATGGCTGCACAATTTGTTTGGCCCCTTTGACCTGGAATCAAACTGTTACAAAGCGGCTGCAGTGCCAACGGGATCTCAATGGCGTCCAGTGCCTGCTCCAGTTGGCCCGTGCTCTGAGCGTGCCTTGATAAAAAAAACCCTTCGCAACATAGTAGAAGGCTGATTTGAGGTCTGCGAAAAGCATGAGCATGGTATTACCTCTCTGCCTAGCTGCAGCAGCGGCTGACGTAACTATCAAGGAAGCCATGTCTGTACCTTTCATTGCCAATCCTCCCACCTGAAACTTGTTGATCAACATATTTGACGCTTCTATGATACGGGTGCGGAGAAACTTGTGGTGTATCTTGGCTATACGCGTGCCAAGCATGATGCCCCTGTAATTAGTGATCGGGGCTGCGCTGCCAGACTTGAGAAGATCCACCTGCCAACCACCCTTGAAGCCAAGTGGCCCTCTGGAGTTCACGTTGATCTTCGTGTAGAGTGGCAGGAGCAGGTCAACAACGTGTTCTTGGGCTGCTCTCGATACATCCATCGTTATGTCATCTGGTCCTGGGGCCTTGCCGGTTTTGGAGAGTTTGATCATGTATCGCAATTCACGGTGTGCCATGACCATGTTATTAGAACGCTCGCGCAGCATATGTTCATACCATTCAAATGTGTTGTAGCGTTCCATGAGATGCTCGACGGTGATGATGTCGCCCTTTTCAAGTCCTGCAAAGTACACAGTGAGTTCGCGTGCAAGCTGTTGCCGATCCATGACTGTGTCACCGTCCACCCCTGAGCGAATTCCAATACCTGCTGGTGCCGCTTTCTTCTGGTGCCCGCCAGAACGCACGAGTTTGCGAATGACCTGCCGTTCGACCTTGTTGGCGTGGGAGGCCTTGGCAAGCTTCAATTGCTGCGCAAACTCTTCTAACAACTGGACCGTTGAAGCCTTCAGAAGCCTACGGAGCACACTTCTGGTGAAGTCCAGGAAGGTCTTGGCGGCACCTACTAAGCATAGCACTGGGAGCTCTCCAAGTTAATTGCTGTCGACTGCCTCCAAGAAAACATCTCGATGGACAACCCAATGCAGGTCTTCAGGTCCTTGGGGGCCGGCGCGCGACATGAGTGCGGAAACCGTGGCATTTTGCCTGTTGGGGTTGCTCTGGTGCCAGCCTCTGATAGCATGCCGTATTTGCCGCCTAAATTTGATGACCTCGAGGAG